CCAATAATGAATGTAACTGTACTGTATACCTAAAATGTACCAATAAACTCAATTTAAAAAACTAAGAATCTCTGTTCATCAAAAGACACAGAAAACAATTAAAAACCAAGCCACAAATTATGTGAAGACACAGGGAACACAAGGACTAATAATATAGAATTTATCTTTTTAATGTCTACAATCATGAATGCAAACAAAATGTGTATAAATGTATAGGAAATTGATACAACAGGAAACATAAGCAGCTGAAAAACAGACATTCAATCTGATACCCAAACTGAGAGATGTGAATTTAGAACATAGCAAGGCATTGGCTTTTATCCATCAAATTGGCAAAAATAAAGTCTGGAACACCATTTACGATTGAGGAAACAGAGCAACAGGCACACTCACACAGTGCTGATGGGGGAATATATTGGTCTGACCCTACTGAAGATACGTCTTCTGGAAGAAATAATAGTTGTTTAATTTCAAGAGTATAAAATAATTTTTCTAAGGCAAAGTTTTTCACAATAAGTTCCTTAAATTTTCATTATGTTCTTGAAAGTTAAATGTACACACTCTCTACATGCTAGCAATTTCACTGCTAGAAATATTTCCTGAAAATGCCCTCCATATATTAACAAAAGACATAAAAATGAATATTTAGATGAACCATATTCTGAACAGGAAAAAAAGGAAATAACACAAATGTTAGTTAAAACAGAATGAATGAGTAAAGAGTCTAATGAATGTTGGTATAAATAGTACATAAATAGTGTAATTTAGTTTTGCGACAAAATTATTTACACGCCGTACTAAGTACGATATAGGAATTTCATTAGTAGGTTTAACAAAGGTTATTCAGAAATTGTATTCACCTTGATTTTCTTGGCCTTCATTTGGGCTTTTGCTAATAATGTAAACATGGTCATCTCCGACCTATGCCACGATATCCCATCCAAGACCTGAATGGCCTTGTCATGGTTTTCACAAAATGAATAAATGTGTGCTTGTTGAATGGGACTCAACCCAATGAGACCTAAAAGGAAAAGAAAATTTATCAATACCTCTGCCAAGTGTCATAGGTTTAAAATGTATTATTAAAGAAAGCAAATCAATTCAATAATCTTTATTTATAATATGAATCAATCGATATTATGCTAAAATCTATTTACTACCAGAAAACATTAGGACATTATAAATCAAAGCAGTGAAATGGGAAGCCTGTGTATCCTGTAGTAACCTTGCTCACAAAATTCACTATAGTATGAATCATTTTACCAGCTGGTTATGTATGGGAAACTGAAGTTTCAAAATCTTTGTCATTGGGAAGAAGCCTTCATGTTATTCATACATAGCTGTCACAAGTAGTGTAAAAACTTTAAGTAGATATTACATAACCCAAAACTACACTTTTGTATTAATTATATTTACCTTTGTTTATCTCTGCTACTTGATAAATAGTAAACTTTGCAAGATCATAACATTTCATCATAAGAAGATATTGTCCTCTGGAAGAAATAACAGTTGCTTAATTCTAAGCAGATAAAATAATTTTTCTAAAGCTAAGTTTCTCACAATAAGTTCCTTAACATTTTCATTGTTACAATACATGTGCCCATTTTGTATATATGCATAAAAAGCAGTGTGAAAATTATAGGCATTTTTATAGCAGTGTGAAAATTAGCATGGAGATGTGATAAAACAATTTAGGACCCATGATGTTAAAAAGAAAATAGTTAAATCTTCCCTCGTAACTATCTATATTTAAAATGTTCCACTTTATTGCTGAGAAATTATTTTAAAATAAAGGACCATAAAAAGTAGAAAGAATATATATAAGTTGCCAAAATTTAGTTCAAGCACAAAGCAAGCCTTTATCAGAAACCACTGTTCCATTTCATTCTCCAACGTCTACCAATCCTTAGAAAGTATGATTTTGGTAGTGATTACTTGTGAAGAGTTCATTTATAGCAAGTTCTACTACATCTGAAATAAAATTTTATGTGTCTTTTTTTTTTTCCGCTCCATTAGCTGAGGGTTATGCTTGGTACCTTTGTGGACGAAATCAAAACATATGTTCAAAATGTATTATCTTACTTACATATAGAGAGATATAGATATAGATATAGATAGATATTAGAAAAGCCTTAAAGACATAAGTAAACAGTTGTGTTTTGATGCAAGACAGAGTAAAGAAAAGACCTGGTTATTTTATGTAGGAAGTTACTTTAAGCTTAGCAAAGCTAAGACGTACACGTGGCTTACTGGCTGGGGAGACTCACTGCTGGAGATTAAATGTACAATGAAGAGGTTGGAAGAATCAAGAAAGAAGTAAAGGTCCCAACTGCTCGCTCAGATGCTAAGTTATCCTGGACAGAACTCAACGTGTATGCTCATACCTTATTATATATAGTTGAATTCCATCTGGCTGAAGATGGATAGCACGAGATAACTCATTCACTGCATTTTTCCACTTATGCAACTGTTGAATGATAAACAGAAGTACAGGTTCTAATGAAATTGATTGCTTCCTTTTTTATGTCCATCTCTTCAAAACCTCTACTTCAGAAATTTTCCATGACTTTCTTAAGAATCATCAACACAGAAAAGACATACAGAAGTGAAATAAAGGTTTATGATGCCAGAGTATTTTGGTTTTTCAAAAAATTGACTTTAAGTTTGAAGAACAATTACACATATCTGCATAAATGTATAAACTTACAATAATGTAATTGTGTCACACATTCTAGATTGTATGTGTTCTCCTTTTTCATTTTCCTTCTCAGATTTTTCTTCCTGAACTATAAAACCTGTTTCATAAAATTTCACCTATATTAATAAACTAGCACACAAAAAATTTTTTAAATAAAGTTAAAGCCAATTCTACGTAAAAAATAAGGGAGGAAAAGCAAGATTGCTTCAAATTAAGTAAATGAATGGATAAAAGAAAATAAAAAATAGTATAAAAAGATCTACTGAACAAAAATATGTAAAGAAAAATGACCACTTATTCCTTTCTTTTTTTTAATTGCCAGTGGCTTTTATTTACATTGATCCGAATTTGTTTCACTGAATTTCATCGTTCTTCCATATTGTTTTTACAATAAATTTATAAATCATTTTAATCAGGTCAAATAATATTGTAATATAATAAGGGAAATGTTCCCCTATTTGATAATCCCACTTTCCAGATGAAAATACTATTAAATATTTGGTGTGCATTTTTCATACTGTAAAGTATATAAAATATACATATATGTGCATATGTTTTTATGAATATGCACATATTATAAAAGATACTATGATAGTAAGCATTCTAACACAAATAATTTTTGCACTTGAGCTACAGTTGTTATTTGGATAGAGACAAAATTCTTCATTTGGCCTATGTAGAAAATAAGGCTGACCTTTCTGTATGAACCATGGTTAAAGTGTAATGAATACCTCCGTGGAAAAAGTTTCTATGGATGCTGCACCATCTTTCCTCCCAAATGCGCTCTTCTACCCCGTGTTCAGATCCCATCCCAAATATCACTTCTTGATGTTTCCAACTAGTTTACTACATATTTTCTCATTCATCTTCCTTGTACTTGTCAGAGAAAAACATACACACCCCTTAGGCAACATTATTTCTATTTTTGCTTCTGATTTTAAACTCAAAATATAAATCAATACCTACCACAGAGTAGGTGATTATGAACTACTTTAAGTGACTAATGAATAA